ACAAGGAAACCCTAGACTATATAGTGGGCTTAAGCCCTATTAACAGTGCAAGTCTACAGTATACAAGCTGCACTCATCTGAAGCTAAACTCCACTGCATTCTGTTGTTGCATTGAAGCTAAACTCCACTGCATTCTGCTGCTGCATTCAACTGAAGTAGCTGCACTCAACTGAAATGGTTGCACTTGACTGAAGTAGTTGGTGCACTCAACTGAAGTAGCTACTGCATTCAATTGATGGTACTGAAGCTGTGTTTAAAGACTCAATGGAAGTTTAGAATTCATTTGAAGTCTGTTAGTTCAAAGACCAAGTTTGTTAGTGCAAAGGTTAAAAACGTCAATGGTTTTACAACTAGCTGTCACACTAAAACTAAAGTTTGGAACAAGTCAAGCAGCAAAGTCTTCAACTTCTTTCACTTCTCAACCTCTATATTGTGCACTCATCCAGAAATAGTGCAGATACTACGGTCAAATTTTGTTATTTTGTGTTTGTTATGTAAGTTTTGAATGGTTAAGACTTAAGATGTCTTGTGGTGGTTAATCACATGGATTGCCAGCTCAGATTGATTGTAACTATATAAACATTCTGCAAATCAGGTCCCAGTCAGATTGAGAGAAAAAATTCATAATCAAAATTTTATTCTCTATTTTTCATCAAACTCAGTTCATTTTTTTTGCAATTTCTTCAATAGTTTACAAGCACAAATATAATTATACACTTAACATCCCCGCTCAAACTTAAGGTGGTAGAGTAACTAGCAACTTAAGTTTGTTAACAAGATCATGAATTCACCTTGGAGGATGTATTTTGGTGAAGAGATTCGCAAGTTGATGGTATAAGAGACAAAAAGAAGGTGCAAATCCTTCATTCGAATGTGATCTTGGGTGAAATGATAATCGTTCTCAATATGTTTAGTACGCTCATGAAACACATCATTATGCGCAATTTGAATGGCACTTTGATTGTCACATAGGAGAGGAGTACTCCCTGAAAGCTCTATTACTATATGCCTTAGGAACCAATCATATTATTGGTTTCAAAGCATTATATCTTACAAATATTCTTTGAAGAATGGAAGAAAGAGTTTTGATTTCACATGTTATTTACTATTTCATTTATATTATAAATAATGCATGTGAAATGTCCGAATGATAAGAATCTTTAGAATATCAAATCATCGAAGCATTCCCTATGTAAGTGATGTTAATTGGGCAATAACGTTGCATAGTAGGCACGCTAAATGTCTCCATTGAATATTATGTGATGGTATTAATGTGGGTGGTTATAAGAGTTATATCACTAGGTCATTAGCATAGATAAACAGTTGGTAAACTGGTTATCGAATATGACCGACTATGATGAATTACATGGACATTTAGAAAATGGTCAATGATATATAATAAGGTCGTGCTAGTGTATCACTGATCCTTAGACCTGAGACATCACGGTTGGATTTGATATAAGATGCATATGGTTCATGTGGTGTATAAACATGAGACTAGCCATGTCTTTTGTAAGAAGCCAGTTTGGTCATATGTTATTCATGTGCGAGGACAAGTGATGGTCAAGATAGGATCCGATGACTTGAAATAGTTTGGCCCCGAGTTCCCAGACAAATGTCAATAAACATTAGAAAAATGAAATATCTGACTAGAGTATGAAAACTGTCATATGATGACACGTTCCATTGTATTGATTGACGATTCGATTAAAGATTAAGTTAAAGGTTTTGACATACTATAAACCCATTCTTAATCAGGATTAGACAATAAATGGATTTTACTACACGAAACGTACGATCAAAAAAAGGTTCATTGGAGTTTAACTTTATTATGGCTTAGGAGTTATGGAGCATTGCTATATGCCTACCATGATTGGTGGGAGTTTCAATCATAAAAAGTTATGACGAAACATATCTAATTACGATATTGGGCCCATGGCTAGGTTATAGTGAACCTAAGTGGTTACATCTAAAAACCAAGTATGAGAAGAGAGAGTAATACATATCATTAAAGGTTAACAATGTTTGGATGTAAACGTGTGCATCTGAATTTAAATATTGGTGAGAAATGATTACTCATGGAAAGCTAGCACTTACTGAGGGTAATAAGGTAATTTGGTCATTATTAGATTAGATTATTGAATTCAATAATTGACTAATATATAATTATTGAATTCAATAATGGGTTAAATATGTTAAATGGGATTATATTATATATAGCTTGATTATAAATTTGTTTAAATCAATGATTTAATATTAAAGAGTTAATATTAAATTGAAATTGTTTCAAGAACATAGGATTAATAATTATTTAATGTTAAGGTGTTAAATAGAAATTGTTTCAAGGAGTTGAGAACGAATTTCAAAATTTGCAAAATGGTCCTAGTATATAGTATGTGATTATCCCTCTTTTTAACCTAATTTTGCAATTGAAAAAAATTTCTCTAGAGCTAAAATTTCGGCTCTCTCTTCTTTATCTTGGGGTGGACTAACTTTGAGGATTTTCATGGTTATTTGAAGATCTTTCAACTCCACTCAAAGCTTCAAAGCTTGTAAAGCTTTAAAAGGTGACAATTTCCACCCAACTAGTTTAATTTTCATGCCTATTGAACCTTAATTTATGCTACACCATTTTCCACCATTTTACCCCTAATAAGCATGTTTTCTTTCAAGCTCCACACCCATGTTTGTCAAAAGCCATCTTAGTCAAATAACCTTAGAAGTAATATCAGCCAAAGCTCGATACTTAAATTTCGTACTCAACCTCACAACATATGACTGTTTTTTGCTTCGCGAAGAAACTAAGGAACACCAAGAAGAAAGCAATAACCAGTAGTAGATTATCGATTAGTCAAATCACTAGCCTAATCAGCACCAGAGTAAACTAAATTTGATAAAATGTAGAAAAAATGTTTTAATTTTAAAAATCAATAATTTGATTATTTAATTGTGTATATGCACAATGAAAGTAAAATAAGAACGTGAATAAAATAGATTAATAGAGATTAAGGTTTTAAAGGATATGATTGAAATTTAAAAATTAAAATAGGGATATTTTTGAAAAAGTCATTTAAGACAAACTATAAGTGTGTAGTCTTAAAAGTTAAAGTTAAAAACCAAACTATTTAGCTTTTTGCGAGAGAAATATGACTAATTTTCAATCGTAAGTAGTAAAACCAAATAACCAATAAATATTTTAATACAAAATATTCACATTTTTTAAGTCTTTAGATATATATATTTTTTTTTCACCTTTATCTCATCCCTCCAAAGTTTAAGCCTAATTCTAGTCCCTATGACATCTTTTACAACTTTTAAGAAACCGATTTGATTGCTTCGTTTTGAACCTTTTTTTTTTTTTTTTTTTTTTTTTTTTAAAGATTGCTTCATCTTAATTCATGGATTCTCTCCAACCTCGGCTTAATAAAACAGTTTGGTGTTGCGCCTTAGTAAATAAATGTCATTAGTTTGTTATATTAAATTATAATTATTATTTATATACTCAACAATTTAGTAAAGGTGAAAATATTATTGTGTGTGCCAAAAATCAACCTGGGCCTTGTCAGACCCAATAACAAAATAAACGATCCATGGTCTAGTGTTTTAACCCAATTTCAATTGGGCCCACGCTTAAATCCATCTTGTGGAAAAATCATCCAACGAGATGGCCCACTTTGTAAGAAGATTCATTCTATGGGTTGGCCCATTCTACGAGCTAGTCAAAACCACGAGTCAACCCTCTCCACAAACTAGGCTAATTTACAAGTAGGATCACTCTACAGTCAAGGTCACCCTTGAATTGGGCCAACTTATATTTTGGGCATTTCCATGAGTTAACCTTTCTACAAGTTAAGCTAAATTTGGCTCCAGCCTTGAGCTCATATTCGTTCCGTTATAGAATTAAGAGTTCTACTTACTTCCTAGTTCATCCAAGATTCCTAATCTTACATGAACTCATGTTTCTACTTCTACATGAATTAGCACTACGAGTTTCTTGTTTACTCAAACTCCTATTGTGAGAATGCCTAGTTCTATAAAGATTCAAACTTCTTTAGCTCACTATATAAACAGAAGTCAAGCCTCTCATTCCCCTCTCTTTAGCTCTTAAATTCTTGCTCTCAAGAGTCGCCACCCTTCCCCACTGTAAAGCTTAATTCCAACTAACTTTAAATTCAATAGTAGCCACCATAAAACTTAATTCCAACTAACTTTACATGCCATAGTCGCTGTAAAGTCATGCTCCGACCACTTTACATTGATAATTTTTCCCTAGCCAAGTGCTCCTAGTAAACCCTTCCCGCTCTCACCCTTACTTATATTTTCCCTTCAACCGTACTAAATTGAGCGTCGAAGTGCTTATGGCAAACATCACACCGGTGTCCTCCAAGCCTTCACATTTGCTTTCTTTGTCCTTGCTCCTCCAGCAGACACCACATCAATGTCCCCAAGCCTTCACGTTTGCTTTCTTTGTCCTTGCAGGTCTACGAGATTGTCAAAGGCCTTGTCTTCACAAGATCAACCTCATTCGAATCAACTGTAGATTTTACCATCTACAACTATAATTTAATTTTCTCTTATATCTTTACTATTGATACTATGTAATTCTAAATTATACCACATTATTTTTAAAAACTTAAATAAAAAAAAGTCTTAGCTAGGTAAAACAAAATAACAAGAGAACAAACTAATAAAATAAAATATATTATACAAGTAAGGTGGTGAGCGCTTTCCTTGAGATTTCATGTATGATCACGAATTAACTCTCGTATACGTTGAATATTAAGACGGTTAACAGCACCGCTAGCTTTGGAACCAACCGAAACTAGCGAGAAACCCTTCTAAATTAGCACTCCTTTTTATACCAGAATTTGTAATCTCATTCCAAACCAGTTACGCTTTCTCTTTTATTAACATCCCAGAAATCATACCAACTACAAATATATTTAGGTATAAGAACCAAATACAAACCAACAAAAGCAAGGAATAGAAAGGTTGTTCCTCTGTCTCGTTGATAGACATGTTGACGATCAAAAGGGTAGCGACGGTCGTTTCCAATTACCAGGAAGATTGTTCTGAAACTGTAGAAGTTGGCTGCGGTCGTAATTGCCTTGGAAACTGTTGCTTACCTGGTATGTGTTGAACTTTACTTTCATCATTCTTTTTATCCATTTATATATGTTTTTTCTTTCCTGGCTTTCATTTTCTTTTTTGAAGAAAGAAAGAAATTTCAAATTTTGATGTTTTTGTGAAGGGTTTCTTCAGAATTACAGAACATGAAGTGGGAAAAGAATTTTATAATTTTTTTTTTTTTTTATTTCAAAGTTATAACATTGAGAAATTGTGAAGGTTTTCAAACTTTACGTCAAATATTGGAGAGAGAGTTTGCTTCAGGATCAATTTAGGTGCTCAAAGAATCGACTGGATATATTTGATTTTTATCAATACATATAATGAAACCAGAGAAAACAAAAAATTATTAACAAAAGGAATATGTATGATTGAATTTTATTTATTTATTTTTTTTTTTTTTTATGTATAATGTTAATATTTCAAGATTGCAGTCCAATCAAATTAGGCCTGAGGATAATTTTCATTTTTTTTTTTTTTTCTTTTCCAGAGTATTGTAAACCTGAAACTTGATATATTTTAGTAGTTTAATTTCTTTTCTTCCCTTGTTTGCTGGTTTGATTTTTTGTTTTCAGTATTAAAGCTACCTCTATATGCCATCAAGAAAGACAGAGAGGGTTCAACCGGAGATAATTCGGCGAATTCATCAAAGGAACACCCACAACCGACATGTTTCCTCCACAATTTGTTGCTGGGAGAATGGGAAGACCGAATGAACCGAGATCTTTTTCGCTACGATGTAACCACTTGCGAGACAAAAGTTATTCCCGGTGAATATGCATTTATAGTACAGCTCAATGAGGGCCGTCACCTCAAGAAACGCCCCACTGACTTTCGTGTTGATCAAATTCTTCAGCCTTTTGATGATAACAAGTTCAATTTCACCAAGAAGAAGAAGTGCTCTTTGGGATTCAACGAAGCAATGACTTCACCAGCCATTACTTCCCCAGTGCCCCTGTCTCGGCTGATTTAAACTCACTTAGTGTCGTTGCTATCAATGCAAGAAAAGTCGATCTTTCTTTCTTTTCATTGTTTTTCAAAAACAAGTTCAAAGGTATGTTCATTGAAATGTTTTGGCTAATGGGTTACATTTTTTTTTTTTTATAATTAGGTGAGTCCGATAGAGTATGGACATGTTCTCTTGATACCCCGTCTTCTTGTCCGCCTGCCACAAAGAATTGATCACGAGAGCTTCTTGCTAGCTCTTTATCTGGCTAAGGAAGCCGCTGATCCATTCTTCAGATTGGGTTACAACAGCTTGGGTGCTTTTGCTACCATTAATCACCTACACTTTCAGGTTGGTACTCCATTTTATTTCAGGTTGGCTCTGATTGTTCAGTTAATTGTTAATCACTGATAAATGATTTTGTGACTTTACTGCAGGCATATTACTTGCCTTTGCCTTTCCCAGTTGAGAAAGCTCCAACTTCAAGAATAGTTACTGTGAAGCGATTGCAAGATAGAGGAGTTATGGTTTCTGAGCTAATGAATTATCCAGTGCGAGGTCTTGTCTTTGAAGGCGGAAAGTCAGTGCGGGATCTATCTAATGCAGTTGCTAGTTCTTGCATTTTCCTTCAGAACAACAATATCCCTTTCAATGTGTTGATCTCTGATAGTGGTAGAAGAATATTTTTGTTCCTTCAGGTAATTCTTCTCCTTTTGATCCTGAATATATGCTTTCATTTGGTCGTACATTGCCTGGAAAATGCTACATATCCAAGACTGAGCTTTTTCCATAGATATGTTTTGAATATGTCCAAGTTCTTCTCAATTTTGGTAGGCTAGAATTCAGAGCTTTTGACCCTGAATTGACATGATTAACTGACTCAGATACATTTGTTTGAGCCTGACTTGACCTGACTAAACTGACTTAGATATTTGAGCATTGGTTGACCGCCCTGCCCCCACCAACTCTTTCGATTTGTGAAGAAAATTTGTTTTAAGTATCTAACCTGAGGCTCAAGTCAATTCTTAGTCCTGAATTTAGTACAAAATTTCGCCAAGACTAATAGTTCTTTTATAAGAGTAAAGATAGGTTGGCAAATATTTTTTACAAACTTTTCTCATTGACGCTGACATGGCAACTCGCATTTGGTCAAGTGAGACCCATTGTTGGGCAAACGAAACTCATCGCGTTTGTAAGAGAAATTTAATGAGGAAAAGTTTGTAAGTATAGTATTATTACTTTCATCAAGAAAAGCTTCGGTGGAGTAAAATTTAATCTCATGAATTCCTCACCGAATTGCTCCAGATAGATTGAACTGTTATGTAACTTTACATCTAGCAACATTCTGCCAATAGTAGCATTAGCACTTGCATTATCTGTATTAGCCTATTAGATCAATTCTGTGTTATTGTCACTTGTCATATCTTCAGTTTCGGTTGGTTGTATTGCATCTCTTGATACATTTTCTCCTGTGTGTGGTCAGTGTTACGCGGAGAAACAAGCACTTGGAGAAGTAAGCCAGGAGCTTCTAGACACTCGAGTGAATCCTGCAATTTGGGAGATTAGTGGGCATATAGTATTGAAGAGAAAAAAAAGATTATGAGGAAGCATCAGAGGAATATGCGTGGAGACTTCTTGCCAAAGTTTCTCTCACAGAAGAAAGATTCCAGGAGGTGAAGGATTATGTCTTGGAAGCATCAGGATTGCAAGAGGCGAACATGAAGGAAAAAAACATAAATCAAGAGGAAGATGTAAAACACATTCATATTTCAATATTCATTTGATAATACAATCAATTTCAATATAAAATCTCTATGGAATATATGCAGAAGTAAATGACAAACCTCCGGCAATAGCAATTGTTGTTTGTTCTTCTTGCTTCTTTATAAATTACGAGATCTTCCACTGACTGCAATTTTGGAGTGATGGTTTTGAAACTCAAAATTAAAAACTGCATCAATGGGGACCTGTAAAGTCTCTTTCTTATGCAGTTGTCTTTCCATCAAAGACAACTGCTCAAGAGAAACAACCGTATGACCACATCAACAGGGACTAAAATGTAATTATATGAGAAGTGTAGGACCATATTGTAAAAAGTCTAACATTCTCCCACTTGGTCCAAACTTGTATAATATAATCCAGAACACAAGAGATGTATATGTGGTATGTGCAATTAGAAAGGGGAAATTANGGCTCTGATACCATGTTTGTTTGAAGAATTGGGTTTTCAATTCATTGATTTATCACTAAGGAGTTACACCTTTTATATAGGGAGTATACGATCTCCTAAATCTCCTAATTATGTCAATTGTAGATTACACAATATTTTGTCTGACATAATTAGGAGATTACATAATCTCTAGAATATTCTGAGATCGTATACCTGACATAACTAAAAGATTACATAATATTCACTTGATTACAAAATATATACAAAATATTATGAAAATCTTAACATATTATTGAGCAGATAAAACTCATCGCGTTTATGAGAAAAAGTTAACGAGGAAGAGTTTGTGAGTATAGTATTATTGCTTCTATCAAGAAAAGCTTCGGTGGAGTAAAATTTAATCTCATGAATTCCTCACCAAATTGCTCCAGATAGATTGAACTGTTATGTAACTTTAAATCGAGCAACATTCTGCCAATAGTAGCATTAGCACTTGCATTATTCTGTATTAGCCTATTAGATCAATTCTGTGTTATTGTCGCTTGTCATATCTTCAGTTTCGGTTCTTTGTATAGTATCTCTTGATACATTTTCTCCTGTGTGTGGTCAGTGTTACGCGGAGAAACAAGCACTTGGAGAAGTAAGCCAGGAGCTTCTAGACACTCGAGTGAATCCTGCAATTTGGGAGATTAGTGGGCATATAGTATTGAAGAGAAAAAAAGATTATGAGGAAGCATCAGAGGAATATGCGTGGAGACTTCTTGCCGAAGTTTCTCTCACAGAAGAAAGATTCCAGGAGGTGAAGGATTATGTCTTGGAAGCATCAGGATTGCAAGAGGCGAACATGAAGGAAAAAAACATAAATCAAGAGGAAGATTCTCTTGAAAAGCTACGTGCTGCTCACGCCTCAAATTTACCTCAAGACTGTATGGTTTAGCATTGGAGTAACCACTTGGCATAAAAAAATTTAGAAGGATAAGTAGGAAAAACTAAAATGATGTTATATTTGGCCATAATGTTCTAACTTATACTGGCCACATTGTTGTTTATTCAGGCCATTTATTGCTGTATCTGAACTTTGTTACTCGGATAGAGTAATATAAAAACTCTTAATTCTGGTGCTGCAGTGCACAGCCTGTAAGTGAAAAAGCCAGAGAGCAATGTTCCGTATTTCATTTTCGTTTCAAGATAAAAGTAAAATTAAGTTGAGTTTGGTTATTTTTATGAGAAAAATAATTATTAATGTTTTGAGTTAAATAAAATAGGATTGAATTTTGACAATATTGAAACAAATACATTTTTTTATTTTTAAGATAGAATAGTGGAAAAATAGTGAAACAAATGCAGCCCAACACTACTTAAATTTTAGTATTAATTAATTCCTCTTATAGAGTCTCAACAAAATATGTTGTTTTATTATATTTTCAGTCAATCAAACAAAATTTATCTACTACTTTTTGTGATGAATCTTATGAAGAAAATTTGAATTTTACTTTAAAAGGTTGGTGTAGAAAATATTATCATTGTACCTTGGCATGATTTGTTTAACATATTTTATTTTTAGGGTTATTATTAATTGAGGATTTTTTGAAGAAAAAAAAAACTAAAGAAAAAATGACATAAGTTTAATTTATATCAATGAATTAACATTTTTTTTTACAATAAACAAACACTTTTTTATACATTTTATCAATAAACTTACATATTTTTGCACTTTTTATCAGTAAACCTACTTTTTTAATAAGAAGTGTTATTTAATTGATAAAGATATCTATTTATTGATACGAATAAAACTTGTGTTATTTTTCCTTTAGTGTTTCCAATAATAATAACCATTAGGTTTATTATATATATAATTATACAATTAGTTATTTATATACTAAATATGTAAAATAAAAAATCTGACTTTGAAAGTTTTTATTTTGAGTATAATTAGAAAAAATGGCGTACTTTTTAATTACCTCCCCTGAGGTTTCCTAGAACCTCCCTGACATTCTAGAAATCTCAACATCTCCCTTAAGGTATTAAATATAAATAACCTCAGCCACCTCCCCTTGGCGCCGTTTTCTAACGGTCAAAAGTTATTGACCAAGGGCAAATGCATAATTATAATTAACTGATGTCGACAAAACCTAGTTTCTAATTTTCTCTTCTTCAAATCTTCATCTTCATCTCTTCTCCATCTTTTTCATATTATATTTATTCAATGATTTGATTTGATTAAAGGTGATAGAGATGAAACTCTGCTTACTGGGTATCACAATGGAGAAAGGAGATGATGGCCCATAGTGCTTCGGTAATTAATCGTTAAACGCCAACAGCGGTGATGATGATATTGATTTCTTAGGTAATGTTGATCCTATGTTTCTATTAGTGTTGGTGTTGGTGGAAATGAGAATTTTGATAAAGGGTGCGTTTGGCTTATTATTTTTATCCATATTCCCAATCCTATTTTTCAAATGTTGTTTGGCACGTTATTCCCAAAATATTAGTCTATTTTTTTAATTACATTGAGACCCTATAAGTTTATTAATTTCATAAATAGACCCCAAAAAAGTTTAAAAACTAACAAAAACACCCCCACCCACCAATACCTGCCAGATTCCGGCAATCACCACCGGTGATAGCTGGAATCTATCACAATAGTCACACAACCACCGGAAATAGCCGGTAATGGGCAGATCTGGCCTTTTCCGACCAGATTCACAATGGATATGGCCGGAAAAGGCCAGATCTGCCGTCAACGATGGCCAAAGAAATGGTATCTTTGGCCGTCGCTGACGGCCAAAGATGGTCGTTGTTTCAGCCTTTTTCGACCGTCGCAGCCACAACAGTTCGTAGATCTGGCCGGAAAAAACCATAACGACGCATTACGGCACAGATTCAACCGGTTTGTGTCGTAACGAAATTTTCCGGCCAGATTCCGACGGTGGTGGGGGTGTTTTTGTCCTTTTATATATTAGGGTCTTTAATTAAATTAGTAAACCTAAGAGCTTTTTCATAAATTTTTAAAGTTTATCTCGTAATACTCCTCTATTCAACAACCCAATAGTATCCCTAAAACCATATCCAAAATAATAAACCAAACGCACCCTTTGTTATTTTTGTTGGTTGGTGATGGTAGATGTGGGAATATTTTAAAAAAAAAAAAAATGAAGTTGTACTTGCACATGCATATTTATTTAAGAAAAAGATGCAGATTTAAGTAAGAAAAAAATAATATTTAGTGGGAATATGGCCTAATTAAGGAAAAAAAAACTACTATTAACAAAATGTAGCTTACAAATAAACATATGACCATTAATTTATTTATTACTTGTTTTGGGTTAGAAAAATGCTTATATACAATCTTCTTTAAAAAAAATGAAATAATTAATAAAGGTTATTGTGAAGTTTGCACTGTAATGGACAAAATAAATATCTTGTATAAGAGTTTCAAAGCTTCGCAAAGCATTCCAGAACTACGCAACGGTAATATAGTATATCAAAAGCAATCAGCAAGATTTAAATTGAGATGGCCAATAGCAACTTTTTGGGCATTATGGACATTAAATGTTTCCAGTCCATTTTTTCTGTTAGAAAACGGTGCTGAGCGGAGTTATTTAGGGATTTCTGGTCCGTCAGAGAGGTCTTTTGGAAAATCGCAAACTCTAAAGCGTTTGTGTGAGGAATTTTTTATCACTGAAAAGATAATATTATTATTAAGGTGAATTACCTTGAAGATTAAGGGAAAAATATTATATTAATATATTTGGTTATATTGATGAGTATAAATAATTAATATATTTGGTTAAGAGAAATAAAATATTATCTGAGGGGTTTTTATTGAATTATCCTTCCTTGTTAATATTATTATTATTATTTAGGAGTTGTAACATTTTTAACCTTCTACATTTGAAAATTTAGCTAAAACACTCTAACAAAAAAAGTTTAAAATTTAACAACATACCCAGCCACCCAAGAAGACTACCAGCCGTCAACCACCACCGTCAGCCACCACCGACAGTCGCCAGAACGGCACACGATCGATGGGATCTGGCCAACTGTGCATCGATTTGGTTGTTTTCAGCCAGATCGAAGGCCGAAAATGGCCAGATGACCGTGGATTTGGCCAGAAAGCTATATCCATTCTATGGCTATTAACAACCATGGATCTGGTCGAAAATTGCTAGATCTATTCTAGCTACTTACAACCATGGATCTAGCCAAAAATGATCAAAATGGATCTAGTCGTTCTCGGTTAGATCCATGGTTGTCTAGCCATTTCCAACCTTCAATCTAGCCGAAAATGGCTAGAGCAATGCATGGTCGGCCAGATCCGACCGGTAGTGCACTGTTCTGATGACTTCTAGTGACAGCCGGCAGTGGTGGCTGATGACCGGCATTCGTCTTGGGTGGCTAAGAGTATTTTGGGAATTATCCATGTAAATAGTAAGGGTATTTTTGTCCAAAAAATTAATATGAGGTTAAAGAAGTCATTTCGCACATTTGGGCTAATTGTTATTTAGTAGACATATGAGGGCATTTGTATCCAAAATGTTTATTAATTAAGGGTAAAATTAGTATGAACAGTTGATTATCCCCGTAATTGAAAAATAACACCCTCTCAGACAATAATCAAATTACTCCCGTTTTTAACTACAGTAACTACTATTGACATTAAAAGTTTACCGTAATCTTACATTACTTGAAACCCAAACGTAATAATTGTCAGAAAATAAAATAGATTACTTGTGTTATCTTTTATGCCCTCGAAACAAACATACACAAGGTATAATACTCCAAAAAAAATGGCAGAGACCACTTATCAAATTTGAACAAATTCATTTATGGTATAATTAAAGGCCACGACTGTATAAATTATTTTTTATTTGAATTAATTACACAAATTCATTATCATTGATCTTCTATAAATTTATAACATAACCAACATAAAAAACTGACGATAGCCCCTTATAATTAACCACTTACATCCTTTATCGTCGTAAGATTAACTAAGAGAAGGGAAAAAAAAGACGTATATCTTAAAATAAGAAAAATTATAAATTAAACATTCCAAAATAATAAAAAGTATTTAGAAAAAGTTTATTTAAGATTTAATATTATTTTTAAAATAATTTACCCTTTTTCAAAGAAGGTGTAGGGCGATCTCTTATCGCCAAACCACCATTCTTAGATTGTCGGAACCATGATCTCTTTAAAAAAAAATTAAAAAAAAAAAATCTAAATTGACAGTAAGGGGTGTAAGCGAGGACGTGGCCAGAAATGAAATGTAAGAGGGTTAAATTTGGAAGAACAATACAATTTTAAATTAAAATAAGCACAACTTTTGTATTTATAAAATTCTTATCAATCAATACATTTATAATTGTCCTCAACGGGATTTCATCTTTTGAAAATATTATATAATAATTTGATTATCAATACTATCAAATACATTTTTTTCTATGAAAAATGTTATCCTTACAAAGATCCATACAAAGAGGGCTATAAAGTGACATCATCCAGAAGAAAAAGAATAATACTACACATACATCATTCTCATACAACATTTCTCATACAACATTATGTGGCAAGATATAATTGGGTGAAAGTTTAATTTTAACTTTAAATTAGCCAATCATATCTTGCCACATAATGTTGTATAAAAAATGTTGTAAGAAAATGATGTATGTGTAGTATTACTCGAAGAAAAAAACAAAGAAAAAACGGAAAAAGAGAGAGAGAGAGAGAATCATGAAAATCAAGGGTGAGAATTGTCTTTGTATGCCCCATTTGTATGTGTCTTTGTAAAACTAGCATTGCTCTTTCTCTGTATACACAACTAAGCTATCATTCAACCATTGATCACTCATTCTATTTCGCAAATGATTTTTCACAAAATTTATTTTTGAAATTGCTTACTCTACACTAGTAGTGGCAACGAGTAGAATCAAT